GCTGCCAGTCTCTCTACCATGGTCCCAATACTGGGATCTTGGGCCCAAGGATGCACTCCATTCCTGCTTCCACATTTTAGGTATCTATTAGAGTAGCACCCCACTCTTGGTACCAAATTCTGTCTTGATTCTCTAGTGCTGCTATAACAGAAATACCACAAGTAGATGGCTTTAACAAACAGGAATTTATTCTCTTACAAGTTAGGAGGCTAGAAGTCTGAGTTCAAAGTGCCAGCTCTAGGGGCTGGGTGAAGGGCCCTTAACCCTGGGCTTCAGCTCTGCCTCCTGTCCAGGCCCACTGGAGGTTCAGGCATTTCCTATCTCAGGCATCTGCTGGCTGCGGAGGCTGACAAACCCAAGATAGACACGTAAAATAGCACAATCCCAAGATCAGCAGGCAACACAGCAGACTACTGGTTCAAGTCCAGGAATAATCCTAAAATCAACAGGCAACAAGGCAAGCCAAGACTCAGCCAAATGTAGGGTCCAGATGTGATAAAAGCTAGTGACCTTCCTCAAAGCTTCTTCCCATATGCTAAAAGCAGGCCACATCTCAAAGGTAACTACTTAGCTGCTCACAGCAGACTCTACCATGGAGGTGATTACAATCATATCATTGGGAATAACTACATTCAGCTGCCCAGCCACTCAAAACCATGGCCCAGCCAAGTTGACATACAACTTTAACTACTACAGGTAATATGTCTTGAAGATGGCAACTGCACCTTGATCCATAGGCTGAATCATAGCCGTTATATTGGGAGGTAGATGTAACCACTTTCACATCTTTACTTGGGCCATCCATGTGAGAAGGATGTGCACAGGCATCATCAAGCAGCAGGAGAACTTGGAAGGAGTACTCTTTTTAAGGCAGTGGGCACACATTTCTGGGATGAAACAATTTAAAAACCAGTCTTTGAATAACATAATCATCATCCAGGCCTTGGAGTTATTCCTGTAGTAGACCAGCAGCTTATTTTTATCAATGTTTTTGAATGTTTGGGGTTTTCAGAATGGTAAACAAGAAAAGGTTTTAATTTAAATCCAGCAGCATTTCCTTCAAGCAGCAGCATGATTCTGTCTTTAAATGCCTGGAAATCAGGCACAGACTTCTCCATTCTGGCATCTTTTTCCAAAACAAGCCTTTTTCATCCATGTTGAAAATATGCTCTGGTATATATTCTTCACTTTGTATTACCTTGTCCAGCTCATCATTGAATTTTTCAGCAGCTTCAACATTGGTGCTTCCTGCATCTCCAGTTATATATTCATTACATAAGCCAAATCTGCCTTTGAAGCAATGAAACCAGACCTTGCTGGCATTAAAATACTCCTTGCTGTTTCATCAAGTTTTCAAAAAGACTGCATGCTATTTGTTTGAATCATCAGTAAATTCATAAAAAATACTCCCCTGGATTTGGTTTTCTATCCAAATCAATGGCTTCTCCATCTCATGGACTGGCCCTTCTTTGTTAAAACTATTGATTTTATGCCAATCATTCCTTTAACCTCCAAAATCTTTTTCTTATCTTTAATGATTGTTGAAATGGTCAAATGAGACAGTCCTTCCTCATGTGTTAGTTTGCCAACTTTTCTTTCCATTATCACAGACTGTAATGAACTTCATTTTTATATCCATCCATAATCTAGAGTCTTCTTTGCCTTCTTTTTTAAATTAGAACTTATAATGGCATGATTTCTTTTGCTAGACATATCATAAGGGGTATAAGCAGTGTTAACAACGTGAAAACCATGAACAACTCAGATTCAAATTAACTACAGATACTTGTAATGGTACTAAATGCTGAATAAGATCATGCTATAGGCCTGGTCCCAGGAGCTCTGGTGGTACAGTGATTAAGGCATTTGGCTGCTAACCAAAAGGTTGGCAGTTCAAACCCACAAGCTGCTCTGTGGAAGAATGAGGTAGTCTGCTTGGGTAAAAATTTACAGCCTTGGAAACCAAATGGGGATCACTATGAGTCAGAATCGACTCAATGGCAGTGAGTTTGGTTTTTGGTATAGGCCTGGTCTACAGTGAAGTTGGCATGAGCATTGTAACAACGGCATTTAAGTCATAACAGCTGTGGGGCACATGTACAGTTTATAACTGTCATATATTAATTGCCCCACTATCCATCCATTACAACTCCTGACAATGACACTGACTTCATTGTAGATCAGGCCATAGTCTGCTATATGGCAGTGTTTTATATAATAAATTGTAACAATGAACATCTGCGAGTGAACATCTGAGAATGATAACATCAGCAATTTACATGCTGCAACATTTTATGTAGTACATCTTATTAATGATAAGATGTACCCAAAAAAGGAAAAGAAAAACAAAAAACAGATGGCCTCGTAAATTTAGTTTGTCATAACTCCAGTATGTCATAAGTCCACAGAGCAGCTTGTGGGTTTGAACTGCCAACCTTTTGGTTAGCAGCCAAATGCCTTAATCACTGTACCACCAGAGCTCCTGAGACCAGGCATATAGCATGATCTTATTCAGCGTTTAGTACCATTACAAGTATCCATAGTTAATTTGAATCCGAGTTGTTCATGGTTTTCATGTTGTAACACTGCTTATATCCCTTATAATATGTCTAGCAAAAGAAATCATGCCATTATAAGTTCTAATCTAAAAAAGAAGGCAAAGAAGGCTCTAGACATGGATGGATATAAAAATGAAGTTCATTACAGTCTGTAATAATGGAAAGAAAGTTGGCAGACTAACACATGAGGAAGGACTGTCTCATTTGACCATTTCAATAATCATTAAAGATAAGAATAAGATTTACCTGTAGTCAAATATATACTTGATTTCCAAGGACTCCTGCTAGTTCCTCAAATCAAATCCACCCTCAAAGGCTAGTACACTTAACTCCAATACTGTAAGTCTCAGGGTGTTCTAAAGAAATTCACAGGCTCCAAAGGCCATTTCTAAGTGCCGTAAGCAATGGCAGCCTCTGGGCAATGATATTGGAGGAGGGAGTGGTGGTGACAGATGGAAGTCTCCAGCACTCTACGGGTGGCCAAGCCAAGGACAAAAGCAAGAACCAGGTCACGTTTATCCCTTGGTCATTGGCACCCAGTAGCACACCAGCCATATTGTAGGCAATCAGAACTACTCCCTAGATCTTTTCTACAAAGTCCCAGCCTACATTTTATCACATCCTAAAGCAGCAAGTGTTCTCATAAGGGATCCATATGCTACAAAGCACATTTTAACCCTTTCAAGTTGGCCGCTGATGAAGCACCTACAAGAGTGATTAGGCATCTGCCAGTGTCTCGTGTGGCAATGTGCATGGTCTGTGTTGTTTAAGGGAGAATGTTAGGGAGCTTCATTCTTCATGCTTGGGGCTGGAGTGTTCAACTGCCAAGTGGGGTTAGGGATGTCATTGAGCTGGGAGCTTGTAGCACATGGCCCAGGAAATATAACCAAAGAGCCTTTCTTAATTCAACACCAAAGTTATAAACTAGACTTAACTCTTTATTTCATTCAGCTCGAGGAGCAGGTTGTCCTCCATCTAATGAACTAATGTTCTCCCTTCTACAACTTTACCTCTGAACTCAGAAAGGAAAAAACTTTGTAATTTGGGAAGGATTTTTTTTAATTTACGAGTTAAAGAAAAAAAAAAAAAAAAACCACTAAAACTTAAAGTTAATATATTCCTAGCAACTATAATACAATTTTGATATTTTTAATCTCATGGATTAAATTATTAAGAAAAGTGTCTGCATATTTTCTAAGGAGGTTTTTTAGTGTTAATATGTACATCTTATTTATGTTAAAGTGGAACCAGTTTATCTCAGAGAAGTTTGACACGTAAGAAAGAAATTAAACAGTCCCTTCTTGTTCCTGCCACATGTGTGGGGAGGCAACCCTTGGTTTCTGTCATCACAGCAGGAACCATAGTGTCACTATCAATCTAGAAAAGTCAGTCCACTTCTGTACCTATGAAAAAGTTTAGCTCCTTGCTTCAACACAGCCTCCAAGTAAATTCCGTGGGCATCCCTGCCTAATTTTTTTGGTACCAAAATGGAGGATGGAGTCCCTGGGTGGTACAAATGGTTAATGCACTCATGTGCTAATTGAAAGTCCACTCAGAGGGGTCTCAGAAGAAAGACCTGATGATCTGCTTCCAAAAAGTCTGTAACTGAAAACCATATGGAACACATTTCTACTCTGACACTTACAGGGTCACCATAAGTCAGAACTACTCAATGGCAATTGGTACTGGTAAGTGAGGGGCAAGCTGATGGATGGTAAATCAAGTAAGGCTGGGCATAAAATATCTGTGTCTGTGTGGACTTCCTCCCACATGAAGCTCATAGCATCACTCACCTCCTTAATGCTGGGTGTAAGATAGTTTGCAAACAGCTTCAAACATAGGTTAGCTTTTTCCTAATGAGTGATTTATTTAGTGAAGGAAAGTGGAAATAATGAATTTTCTTGGAAGGTAAGACTCTGGATTACATGGGATTCAGTATGTTTATAATATTATTGGGAGCTCTGGTAGCATAGTGGCTAAGGCACTTGACTGCTAACCAGGTGGTTGGTGGTTCAAACCCACCAGCCACTCCTCGGAAGGAAGATGGGGCAATCTACTTCCGTAGTGATACTGCCTCGGAAACCCAAGGAGGGGTCGCTATGAGTCGGGTCCGACTCAACGGCACATAACAATAACAACAATAATATTATTATGAATATTATTATAAATAATAATATTAATTAGTAATAGTGACTGATACCTATTGAACCCTTACTTCCCGCTGGGCACAGTGAAAAGTGCTTCACATGGAATAGCTCATTTAATCCTCATATACTGGATACTGGTACTACTTTTTATTTTTCTGATAAGGAAATAGGGGGCCCAAAGTCTGATTTCCAAGCCTAAGTTTTCAACCAATTCTTCCCTACTTCCTCTCCAAAGAGAAACATCTTTTTCTTCTCTCATATCAGGTATGTACATACAGGCTGGATTGAGCTTTACCTGGTCACAAAGACAGCTGCATCCACAGGGGGCGTATCATCCTTCCCTCCTGGAATCTGGTTGTTGCCGAGATATTGTGCTCTTCCATATTCTTCATTCTGCCAGTGACAGAAGCTCTCCAAAGAACGCTCACCATGGTGCCCAATGGACAATTTGGCCTAAGAGAAATCAGGTGGTAGTCAGAGAAGCAAACTTCCACAGAAGTCAGAGTTTACATCCAGACTACAGTGTAGAAGTTAAGGTTGAGACAGTTATTCACCAAGACACCATTCAATGATGTAATTTCCCCCAATAAAAAACCTAGCACTAGTGGGTATGCAGCAGATAGCAACAGAAAGACCATGAGGGGCCTTATTGTTTAAATTCAAATTAAGACTAGATTACTAGAGAAACATTTTTTTTTTCTTTTCTGCAGACAGAACAGTGTACAAAACCAAGCATCAGTTCTTCAGTCCCATGTCTATTGCTTGATTCTGCAGGTAGCATTGTCATCTGGAAAAGCTCTTAATAAAAGACTAAGGAGAAATTCTACAGTAAATTCACGTTTGGGTTGATGCGTAGGTACAGCTCCAGCAGGGCTGTCATGGTTCCAAAGTCCTCACCACCAAGCCTTTCCACCTAGCCTGCAGCCTAGTGCAAGACATAACAGAGTGAAGGAGAAATGCACATGGACCCATTTATACCTTGAGCAGACCATGGATACCACTGATATCTTAAGCAGACAAGCACAAACCATACTTCAGTAATGGTGCTTGCCTGCTCTCATACTCAACATCCTTGGCCCCTGGCTCAGGGCACAGTGTTATCTCCTGCAAAGCCAGGAATAAGACAGACAACTACTTAGACTCCTCCTCAGTACCAGAGAACTTCAAGAAGAGTTACATTTTCTGTATACTCTAAAAAGTACCTCAGAGGACTTACAGGACGTTGTCGTAGCAGGACAAGCTTGGTAACTTGAATGTTAACTTTAATTCCAAGGCTCTGATGTTGAAACATATTATATACCTATCAAGAGATAAAAAGGAAATAGATGAAGATATAAATATGAATTCTGTTAAAAAATACAGTGGTAACATTGATGGGATCCTAAAACAGTGAAAAAGGACATTAGGTAAAAATTGAGGAACTCTTAAATAAAGTATGGGTTTCAGTTAATAATGATGTATCAATATTGGTTCATTAATTATAACAAATGTACCATAATAATATAAAATGTTAATTAACAGAAGAAACTGCATATGGCAAAGGGGGTAGTAATGGGAATTCTCTCTACTCTCTGGTAGAGGGAAGTTCTTCCATAAATCTAAAACTGTTTCAAACATACAAATTCTATTAATTGACAGAATTATTTAAAAAGACAAATTATGCTTTTCTAGTCCAAAAAAAATTATGTAAAATTCAAATTTCAATATCCAGAAATAAAGTTTTATTGGCACATATATATGATAAATATAACCCAAATTTTATTAAAAAAGCCTTCTGAGACCAAAGAAGCTCCCATAAAACTGAAATACTCTCTGCAAAAAGAAAATATATATGATTACAAAAATAACTCTCTAGAATCACACACACATGTGTACAAATATACATATACACACACACTCTCACACAAAACTAAGTTAGACATCAGCATATGGGAAGATATAAAACTAAGTGATTTTTTAAAAAAGGAATGGAGTTTTAGATGATCCTGGCAGGAAGCCCAAAACTCCAATTCTAGGCTTTCCTTCAGGAGGCTGAAAGGGAACTTTAAGATAATGAGGGGAGAGGCCAGTGTCTTTTGGGCACCATCTGTGTGCCAGCCTGTCCTGGGCACAGCAATGGTATCATCTCCAATTTTCACCACTACCTGTCCAGATGGATCTCTCCACTCCTCTGAACCATGGAAACAAGCATAGGGAGGCAAAATAAAAAAGACGTAACTGGTCAGTGATGATTCAGATTCAAACCTAGGTTTGTCCATCTAAAAGTCCATATTCCTTTCTTTATTCCCTGAATTCATCATTCTAACCACAACCTACCACTGAGATAAAGTTACAATCACAGGAAAGGGTCTGTCATTTTCCATTTTGCACCTCTTGTTCACAGAATGTAATAACAAAGACCTCAGTATCAAGAAGCCAAAAAGAAGTGTTTCAAGGTGAAGAGATATGTTTTCTTAAGTGCCATTCAGTCAGTTTTGGCTCATAGAGACCCCATTTACAAAGAAATGAAACACTGCATGGGCCCTCACCATCCTCCCGATTGTTGCCATGCTTGAGCCCATCATTGCAGCCACTGTGTTAATCCACCTCATTGAGGGTCTTGCCCTTTTTTTGCTGACCCTCTATTTTACTTAGCATGATATCTTTCTTCAGGAACTAGTCCCTTCTAACAATGTGATAAAGTATGAGAAATAAAGTCTGGCCATTCTCACTTCTAAGGAGCATTCCAGTTGTATTTTTTCAAAGACAAAGTTGTTCATTCTTTAGGCAATATATGGTACATTCACTATTCTTCACCAAAGGCCCAATTCAACTGCATCAACTGTTCTGCGGTCTTCCTTTTTTTTTTTTTTTT